TTACCAAATGTTTGATATATTAAAATTAATATTTTATAATATTTTTTCTAATGGAAGAATTTTTTAAAAAGAATTTTAATCTTGTGTGAAAATACACATAAAACCTTGACTTTTAAAGGACTACATTTAAACCTGTTTGCATTTATCTGAACCGTGAAATTAATCGTAATTTAAGTTTATTTCTAAAAAAATAATCAATTCCGTTAAAAAGAGGAAATGCATTTAAAAATCTATATTACAGCCCCATTCCATGGATAATTCCACGGGTCCAGCCAAGAAACCGTTTATTTGGGAGGAAGTAAGGAGATAAATCTAATGAAACATTATTAAAGGGACTGTAAGCGTAATTTCATGTGACCCTTCATGCAAAAATAGTAAAACCCGATTTACAACGAAACCCTGGAAATCTTAATCTGATCAAAAATATGAAAAAACCCGTCGTTTTCCTGACTCAACACGTTTTCATTTCTGTAAATTTCTCTATTGCTGTAAGCAAGAAATGCGCAAGTCACGTTTCCAAAGAAACCACTAATGAAAATAGTTACAGCTTAAATGAACAAAAGCATGGATATTTCATTCATACTTGATCAGACGAATCAGACAAAGCTATTCAGGGTATCATTGTAACTGTATGATTACCATTTTTGCATAGAGAGTCACTTTAACTTACGTTTACAGTCCCTTTAACGGGTACTGTCCGTCTAATTTAAGTGACACGCCCCCTTTGAAGAATTGTATTGGCATTCACAACGGTACCCTTTCATCCATTATCTGACAGGAGAAAGATTTCGTCGTTTTTCAGTCTAAAAAAGTCACTTTTTAGGAAACGTCAATTAAAAATGATCAACTTTCAGAGAGAATAAAAATATTTTTATCGTTCTCATCCTGAGGCAAAGAGCTAAAGGGTACCGATGTGAATAGGATATAGTTCAAGGAGAGGTTCCTGGGTCACTTGAAAATAAGTCAAATAGTCTCTTCAGCTTATAATTCATTTTTCAATGCTAGCTGGCTAAATATAACGCTTAAAATTCCAAAAATTCAAATTTAAACAAACCCACAAAAAGACCTTAAAAATAGTTTATTGTGGATTCCTTTGATTTTATTTTTTTTTCANCCCTTTTCCTATCACCACCACAGCTGACCCCCTCCCTTCTAACCACCACTGTAGTTAGTTTCGTGAGAGTTTTACCAAATTTAAATTGAAGCTTCTAGACTCACTTCACAGTAATTAGGTTAATCAAATTTATATTCTATTTTTTAAGCATCACATTTTTCAGATCTTACTTTCTTCCATGAAATATTTTTTAAATCTATAATATTCATTTTAAATAGGATATTGACAATTTTTCTAAGATGGAACAATTGCGTTGAGTAAGGATCGTTTGATCACGATATCCAATATGGACGCTTTTTAATTTGAGGATCAGTGCTCGATCCCTTAATAAAGAGGAGTGTGGGAAACCGAAGAGGAATTAATTATCAATTAGAAAGTCTGCAAAAGATGGACATTGGAGATCAATTTACAAAACAATTGTTCTGACTTCTGAAGATAATTATTTCATGTCTAACAGTCGTCTTCCAATTCCACATTTGTAAAGGTCACACTGTAGATAATTCTTTAAAAAATTCAAAAATTTCATGGTTCGCTAAAGGCAAAAATACATTTTGGTTATTGTTATATTGTTGTTCTTTTATCAAGCATCTAGATTTAAATTTTCCAAAAGTTTTTATTTTTAAATTAAAGTTGTTTAATATATACTAAGGTTATAATTGATGTTAAACGTTTTATTGTTATTCTAAAAAACGAGACCCAATTCTAGTTACTTCTTATAATTAATAAAAAAATCCATATTATTTCTACAACTGTGCAAGCTTTATTATATTTCATCATCTATTTTTAGAAAAATAAAATAGTTTAGTAAAGCTTTTAAACAAACTCAAATAAGTGCTTCAGTAAATCTAATATAAAATCTTGTTTTTTAGTTACCGCGAGAACCTCGAAAGGGCAATCCTTTACTTAATATTTTGGAGGTAAATATATTTACTATTTTTTCGTATTTATGGAAATTATTTTTGAAAAACCGGGGCATTTTTTAACCCTGGCTAGGCATGTAAAAATGGTAAAAATTCAAATAAAAAATTAAAGGTTTTTCTTTGAAACTCTGGTTTCCTGGAATCCCTTTAAGCGATTCATTCTTTTACAATCTCAATTTTATTTTACAATCATGAATATTTTTATTTTGAAAGTAAATTTATTTAGAATGATTCAGGATGAGCTTTTAAATTATCTAAGTTAACGTTTTTTTTAGAATAAATTAAACCTTCTTTTTTTTAAATAGAACTTTATTTTGTTTTTATTCAGACCATTTTGCATATTTTATTAAAAAGCTGGAAACGTTATTAACATTCTCTACTTAAAAAATCTTGTTTACATCATTAGCTTTAAAAAACTTTTTACATGCTTGCAATAATTGAAATCTCATTAGCATTAGGAAAATTTTAGTAAAAGTTTTAAAATCCATTAAAATTTAAAAACTGCTTTAAAGTTGGACTAACTTTGTGCATTAAAAATAAATATAATTTGGTTAATTGAAAATAAAAATATGTAATGGTCAATGGAAAATAAGAAAATCCAGTCAAATTTTAAAACATACAAATGTTTAATTAACAAATAATTTGAATATTGCCCCCTTAAATAAACCGTTCTACTATATTCCAACAAAATATAATATTAAAGTATAGACTCTTAGGGAATTATGAAAATCTGTGAATCCTTGAAATATTTCCCGGATTTCCTGGAATTGATAATTCTGAACAGTTCGTTCTTTTAAAAATCCTCCAAATATCATATTTTTACTCATTTTCCTATTTTACAGGGCTAACAAATACCTTCGAGTAAATTGAGCTCTAATGAGCAGAAATATTGGATGTTGGTGAAAACTTTGAACTTATGTAAAAACTTTAGCCATTAATTTAAAATTTAATTCAGAATGAAAATTGAGAGAGTTAATAACGATGTTGAAGTTTAAATTTGTTATAAAATTTTTATTATATTATACAAAAAAAAATGCAAAAATTGTCGACATTATTTAAGAGTTATTGTATATACGTATGTTAGTGACAGTTAATTCTACGTGTACTGAAAGCATTTGGAAAAAGGCCTAACATTCCGGTCGTAATTTTGAAATGAATTGTAAAAGTTCAGTGTCTTTAGTTTCAAATATTCTTAAATCAAATTCTTAAAAGTTTAAAATTTGTTTGTTTGTTCAGGTAGAAGATCCCAAACTGATTGTTTCCTTTCATCTGATGGGTCAACTCAGCCCCTTAAATAATGTGATGGAGAATCCTTTAGGCACAAATTTTAAAATATATCTTAAACGTTGAAAATAAATTGTCAGATTTTGATCCACGCCAAACTAAAGTAAATCAGATGTTCAATCATAACTCCTCCCGAATAAATTAGCTTTCATACTTGAAACATAAAATCAAAACTAGAGGGGCTTAAAGGTCACAAAGTCGCATAAATTGTACATCCTCTTTCCGTTCAGTTCTCAGATGTTTTAGTTATTCTTAAAATTATGATCCTTGATTCTAACATTTTATTAATTTAATAATTTATCAGATTTAGACTAAATATGTATAACAAAGTGTTAGACAGATATTCATTTACCCAATCAGAAGCCTGAAGTACCCTATCCAGTCAATAGGAGAGACCCGGCAAGTCTTAAAATATTTCCTGAAAAAAAAATGATTTGTTTTATTTTGTGTTCACAGTAAATCAAATGGATGTTCACCTAGACCTCGCCAAACAGGAAAAAAACGCATTAAAAAAAATTTCTAAATTTTTTTTTAAAAAGTTTTAAAATTTGATATTTAAAAGTTTTTATCAAAGTTTTTTATGTGATATGATACTTTCTGATTCTTTGTGACAGGAAAGTAAAATAAATTTTGTTTTATACTTTTGAAATGTCATCTTTTACTTTTGCTGAAGTGGGGAATATTCAGAAGGAAAACTTGAAATGTTTTTTTTTTCTTTAGTTACTAAAATCTGCTCAAGATTTGAACGCTACGGAGGGATATCTCTTCAAAAATCTAGAAAAAGATGGTACTTTCATATATAATTTTACAATTAAATAAACTGTTTATCTGAATACAGTTTTCAGGTGACCCTCTAGTTCACGTTCGATTCACAACATTACCCTTGTAACCTCTATCTGAGTAACAATGTGGATGAAATCCCTTTTTTTTAATCGCCAGACAATTTATTGTGATGTCTCTTCCCCTCTTTACTTTTATTAATAAACCATGAAACTGGTCAATTTTTTAAAGTGTAAAAAACTAAGTTTTCTCATTGATTCTTGAAGAGATTTAACGAGCACTGATGTGAATCTAGCTTGACAATCTTTAAATCGAGGGTTACTTGAAATTACATTATCAGTCTCAATTAAGGAACTATTCCCAATATGCTTAATAATATGTCCTTTCTTCAATTCACACATTATAATAATTTTGAAATATTTCCTAAGCACCAATTTTCGTGCTTTATTTTTCTACATGAAAGGTGAAAACAGATATTTTCAAACACATAAAACAGGATGTTTCTAGACAAAATGGAAAAAATTGAGGATTCTTGGGAGAATCCCATGGTGGGAAAAAGTTATTTGTTTTTAATTTAGAACAGAAAATAAACATGTTGGAAAATGTACACTTTTGTGTTTGCTATTCTACAAATAATTTGAGTCTTTGCCTTAAATTTGTGTAATCTTTATATCTTTGCAACCTGGCAGAGTAAACGTTAGACTATTTGATGCAACGAGGGTCAAGGAAAGATTAGGGTTTAGAAAACCAGAGTTTGTGAAAAATACTCAATTCTTCTGGTATGTTTTATTTGTCTAAAACTGGTTTTATTTTCAGCGGACTACCCGTATATAAACTATTATGTGATAAAGAAGTCCCGCGACCAGGCCGGACAGTTTTATACAGAAAACAAGCTGGTCAGCCATGATACCCTCTCCCCTACCCGCCTAGGATATTCTGTTAACCACAGTATGGATCTGTATGACGAGGTAAGAGAATATTAACTGTAGACAGTATTTGAAGTAAACCGCTTTTTAAAGAGTGCTAGGCCCGATTCTCAACAGTACCCTAAGAGTTTTATCTGAGCAACAATGGGAAAGATATCGTCGTTTTCCCATTTGAGAAAGTGTTGAATTCTGTCAATTATGTAGTACATTTAAACTTCCGGAAGACATAGATATCTAATTCATTCTTGATCAGGCTTAGATTTTCAGAGTACCATAGTGAATCGGACATGTGATTCTGCATCTTATTGGTATATATTGGGACTTTACACATGTATTAAACCATAGAGAAAGGAATCTTCCCCAGCAATTCTGTTAGAGAGGTTCATTGTGTACTTTAGAGAGCTGTTCATTGTGAAATATCAGATGGATTATGAGATATCCGTCTTCTATGTGTATGAAACATAAGCTAAAATGCTTTTCTAAAAAATTGTCCGTTTCTTTGCTATTGCTGGGGTGAACAAAAATACTGTTTTCATTTAAAGTTTTTGATTGAAAAGAAGAAGAATAAAAGCATTATCCTCTGTACAAATATTAGCATGATGTTACATCTGTTTTTTCTAGGTGTTTGGCTTAGATTCCTTGTTAAAAATCTAAGAAGTAATTTTTTATCTTTTAATTCAAAAATATATAAAATATCTTCCAAATGATTTTTTTAAGTCAAGAAGTTTCAAAGTAATAGTGTCAAAAATCAGAATGTTATGCTTAAAAAGTCTTTCAATAGTTTCTCAATTGTCTTTCCATTGTCTTTCCATTGTCTCTCCATTGTCTCTTCATTGTCTCTCAAGTGTCTCTCCATTGTCTCTCAAATGTCTCTCCATTGTCTCTCCATTGTCTCTCCAATGTCTCTCCATTGTCTCTCAATTGTCTCTCAATTGTCTCTCAAGTGTCACTAAATTGTCTCTCAAGTGTCACTAAATTGTCTCTCCATTGTCTCTCAATTGTTTCTCAATTGTCTCTCGATTGTCTCTCAATTGTCTCTCAATTTTCTCTCAAGTGTTTCTCAATTGTCTCTCAAGTGTCACTAAATTGTCTCTCAAGTGTCACTAAATTGTCTCTCAAGTGTCTCTCAATTGTCTCTCAATTGTCTCTCAATTGTCTCTCAAGTGTCACTAAATTGTCTCTCAATTGTCTCTCAATTGTCTCTCAATTGTGTCTCAATTGTCTCTCCATTGTCTCTCAATTGGCTCTCCAATGTCTCTCAATTGTCTGTCCATTGTCTCTCTATTGTCTTTCAATTGTCTCTCAATTGTCATTTTTAGTGGTTCTTCCGAATGTATTTATATTTGTAAAGAAAAGTGTTGGTTTCCAGATTAACTGCAGAATACAATCTGTGTTTATTGTAAACAATTACAGGTTAATTGATTTATACAGTCCCAGGGTAGGGGGAGAACACTGATTAGTGCAAACAAACGTAATTTATCCCCCTCCCCCCTACCCCCTCTGCTAGGGCTGGGAAAAGTTCCGATAACGAGACAGACGTTTTTAAAAATTAACGGAAGAGTCTGCTAACGAATGGCAAAATAGTTAATTTTTAAATCGTTAACAAACGAAAATAGCTGTTTTTTAAATAGGAAAATTAACGGCTGAAAAAAAATTGCTGAAACTTGCAGAAAATAAAAGATTTTTTTTGTATTTTGATGTATTTAAGCAATGTCATCTAATTTTCTCCTCTGCACTTAATTGTTAAATTTTAGAATTTTATGCTGTTTGATGTGTTTTAACGTGTTTTGATGTTTATGCATGTTGTCTTCAAATTCTGCTAGCTTTTTGCATAAAATAATCGTCAATGGTTCGTTAACGCCCTAGATGATATAGAGCTCGTGAACGAACGATAGATTTTAATTTTAAAAAACAAAAAAGACGTTTTGTGTTAACTATATATAATCACCCACCCACCTAGTGATTTAATCTAAATTAGGGTGTATTTACTATTTTGCTGGCCTTGAACATATAATTTTGCATTTAAAAACATTGAATTTTATTTTGGCCGGCTAGTCTGTTTGATGTTAGACTGCAGAGAATATAATATTACATTCTCCAATCTAGATTAAAGAAAAAGGTCAAATTTATGCAAAATAACTGGTTTAACAATGAACTCTCGTAGACCCTTCTTTTAGGTTTTAAACTAAAGTAACAGAAAAGCTTTATTTGGTTGCATATTAGAAATACAAAACTTGCTTTTTCTTCTAAATAGCTTTTCAAAAAGAGCTGTTATTATAAAAACCATCTAAGACATAAATATTTTTCACATTTTAATTGTTTAATTTGGTCAAAAGTCATTTACCCCTGGGGCCCGGGGGCATTCAATATCATCATGAGAAGCTCCTTGATATAGAAAATGCGCTGAAAATTCTTCTATTTCTCTTGAAATGAGAGAAAGTTTGTTAATAAGTTTGGTTTCAATCTACAATCTATCCATGCATATATTAAAATTTACTTCAAATCTCAGATAGTGCTGGGCAAAGTTCCGTTAACGGAACGAAGGTTTTTGAAAATTAACGGAAGAGTCTGTTAACGAACTGCAAATACCGTTAATTTTCAAACAGTTAATACTGTAATACACCATTAACGGCTGCGCCGTTGACGATTTCTTTAACTGTTAAAGAATTTTTCGAAGATTTGTACTGTTAATAACGTAATAGATCGTTAATCACTGGAGCCGTTAACGATTGTGGAAATTTTTTCATTAACGTCGTTAATAAAATTGAGATCGTTAACAAACGGTAATCTAAAAAAAAAACAGCAAATGCTGTTAACAAAACCAACGTTCCGTTCTTACCTTTAAAATTATCGGCAACCTGAAATTTTTCTTTTTTTACGATTGGAACTAACCATCAACGAAACTGCCTAGTAAAATTTGGAACGTACCTAGCCCTGTCACAGAAGTTTTTCATTTTCAATTTGTTTGAAAACTTTACACAGATATTTCTTAGAAATTGTAAAAAAAAAAAATTAATTTTCTGTTATCAATGAGTTCTAAACTTGATAGTTTTAGAAAGTAAATCGCTTAAAATCACTGTAAACTCCGGTTTATTTCAAGTACCTGACTGAATTTTAAGCAGCTGAAGCAAGCTGTACAGTACAGATACAGCATATATCAGGCAAAGCGGGACAGTACGCGAAATGAAAGATCACCTTCCAGTGAAAAATATGACACCCCTCCCCCCCTCACTTGCTGTTTCCTTAAAAAGAAGGTATAATGGAAGTAAATCAACAGTTAGAGGTTTGAACTTCCAAGCTTAATAGAATAAATGTATGTACTTGTAGGTTTACTTTCTATAGATTTCTATGCACTATATTGCATGAGATTCTGTGGATAATCTCCGCTAATTAAGAAAATAAAGGGACTGTTGGCTTCAAATGACCTTTTATTAGTAAAATGGCGGATCCGATTTACAAATGAAGGATAACAAACTCATCTTTATTTATTTACAAAAACGTTTTTTTATAACTTTGTTTTTCAAGCTGTTTTATTTTAAAAATGTTTTATTTCTGGTTTCGCAAAAAATATTTATTTTTAAAGCATAAACTAGTGTACACCTTGCAGTTTCTCGGTAATTTGTTAATACACCATTGTTAATCGTGCATGCCAATCTAAAAGTAAACAGTCACTTGAAGTTATGCCTTCAGTCATTGTAAAGTGAAACATTTAAGCCTCTCTGGATCAGAGCCGGTGATTTAAAAAATTCGGGAAAATACGGCTCGGGTTTAAGCTGTCGTTGTCGTTGGGCCTTATTTACGGCTTTAGCTTTCGGATCCAAGCTGCATCTTATTTTCCACATAGTTGAGTTCAAAGAATCCCAGCAACAGTTTTAGCCATGCCACCATTTCAGAGCCGGCGATTAAAAACAATCAAGAAAATACGATTCGGGTTTAAACTGTCGTTGGGCCTTATTTACGACTTGAGCTTTTGGATTCAAGCTGCATCTTATTTTTTTGAGTTTAAAAAACCGGTTTCATATTCTATTTGGCGGGGTTTCGTGGTAGGAATTGGCGCATTACGGGTTTTGATGAGAATAAGACTCAACATTGAGACTTATTCTCCACTAAAACCAACCAAGGTTGGTTTTACTTTCATTGGGCCTAACTTCTTAAGTCAAGCCGAATATCTTGCAGCTGTCTCTCACGTGACCCAAGCGGTCGTCAGAGTTGGGTCGAAGATCGGGTCTTAAAGTTGGGTTTAAGGAATTACGGCTCGATTTAAATCGCTGGCTCAGAATACAAATTATTTTATTGCTCCCTTTCTAAATTTCGGATTGAGTTGCTTTTATGTTACATACTGATTATATTATAATTTAATTAAGGCAGTGTTGACGCAAAATAAAGAGTGATTATGGGGCAAACCCGAATTGAATTTGGAATCGTAAGGTTTTCATCTTTTATTTTTATAAAATGTTAGATTAATAATAAAATTGTAAAAAACACTTGTCGCTAACAGCTAAGTGTTCTCCAAATTAGGTGTACAAATTATTTAAAAAAAAATAATCATTGTAAAAGTGACCCTAATTTAATTTAGAATGTTTCTATTGCACACAAAGTAAAGGATCTGTGCAGGCACTTTTATGAATATAATGCTCTCCTTTTCAAACTCAAAGAGTTGACATTTGGAGATTAGAGATTAAAGTCTGTTGATTCAAATGTTGTCAGTTTTTATGTAACTAAAGTTCAAACGGATCCATTCTGGTCCAGCATTTTATTTTCTATATTTTTTGCTGGTCTGACTTTCTGCATTGCACGCACAGAGGAAATTGAATTTTTGAAAATAAAATCGTATTGAGAGAATTTTATTCCATTCATAGTTCAACGTTTTTCCTTATAAATGTACCCGTCCGACGTTTGTACTGGTCCGACGTTTGTACCAGTCTGACGTTTGTACTGGTCCGATGTTTGTACTGGTCCGACGTTTGTACTGGTCCGACGTTTGTACCGTCCGACGTTTGTGGGTCCGACGTTTGTACTGGTACCATTCTGAAGCCATAACCCTTCCCCATGGATTATCCCAATTTGAATAGAAACTAGGTTAGGAAAAACGTTTCCTAAAAAAGTCCACTCACACAACCTAAATTTCTTAATCAAATAACATTTCCCTGGTTCTAACGAGTTCCCCAAAGGCAAATTGTCCAAAATGAATTAGTTATGATCGGACAGAGATTACTACTTTATACATAGTATATATAGACAAGTTGGTAGTGACATGAATTTAAAAAATAATCTTTTAATTGCATCATATTTTTGATATCCATATTATTTCCATCTTTTTTGTTATTTAATTTTACCGAGGTATTGATTTGGTCGAATACAGAGTAGAATATCTTCGCAATATTGAGGATGTATATGACCTATCATCAAGAAAGAAATCAAAATTTGCAAATTTAAAATGTCTAAGCTTAATCGGTTCAAAAAGGCAAACGTTACAGAAAATATTTAACCCTGAATCCGAATATCATGCAATACCGAGGCTCTCTCCCAATCATTGAAAATGTTGAAAAGTAAAATATCACAGATCCGGGAAAATGAAAGTATATTTAAAAATGTCAGACTGACTTTTAGAAAAGATCTGAAAATTTTCAGATTTCCGTTAAATGGACCTGTCTTAATTCTTTGATGTTTTTTCAAATCAAAAAGATCTTATTCTGTCTCCAATCAAACAAATTTTGAAATATCGAAGGAAAAACAAATGATCTGTATCTCAATCGATCCTAAGCCTGAGAAAAAATAGATTTGATTACTAGTTTACTGCATCTGGTGCAATAGAACTTAAATATAATTTTAAGTTGAAGCTGGTACATAGATGCATTTATTTGTGTAAATAACATTTCATATTGATAATTACGTTGGTTGTCCCCATAAACTCTGAAATAGGGAGACACATGAGTAACAATACTTTAGTGTTTTTGATGTTGTTAAATTGTTTTACCAGACACTTATTGAATCACCAGTTAAGTGAAATGGGTCTGTTTACACTGCACAATTGTTGTGTCCCATGCTCATTTGACTGTACAGTGATAACCAGAAAACAATGGAATAAAATTACGAGCAATTAGCAATTTAGAGTCATAATTTGAACCTGAAAATCGTCTTCCTTTTCCAGAGTTTTCTGGTTATCACTGTATAAATTCATAACTTGAGTCTACACGCCATCTTTTATGTTATTTGATTATATTTGTAACATACATTGTCTATGCATAACAGCTGTCAAAAACGAATATTTGACACTGTTAGATGCAAAGGGATTTTATTTGAGAACCAAATATTATGTTTATGCATCAATAAACAGTGCAAAGACAGTTTTGCAGCTAGCTTGGGATTTAGGATCTTTTTCTTAAACCCTTTCCCGGTTGGGCTATTTTCGTCTAATAAAGGGGGGGGGGGCGATGGCATGGTCTTGGCTGATGGAAGCTTTTTTGCTAACTTATCTAATAAGCGCATAACTATATGACTTGATTATCATTTTTATGTGAAATTTTTTGGAAAAAATTGACAACGTCAAAGCAGATTTGTTTTAATGGTATATGGAATAAATTCTAACTTGTTTTTTTCTTTAAGTTAACAATTGTAAAAGAATGATTTTTTTTGTAAGCTTTGAAAAGGAATAAGGATGCTGAGCGTGTTATAATAAATATTTTAATATTTGTGTCCGTAAATAACATTGTGTCCTCACATTTTTCATTCAATTGCAATATTGAACCAATCAGAAGTGAACAGTAATATGTTCAACTCAATTAGAAGAAACGATGTTCGCCAATTCTCATGTTCGACAACTCGAGCACAACGTTTGTAATTCTTAAAGTAGCACATAATGAGATTCATCAAGTGTAAAAAAGAAAAGTAAAAAAGTAAAAAGATAAAATTGAAAAAATTAGAACTCTGAATTATGAAGATTATTTTATAAAGTCAGATTCTATCTTTAAAAGGTCCAGTGAGCATAAGACACAGCAATTCACTAAATTAGTGATTTCATAAGTGTCTAGTGATGTTTTTTATGTAAGAACATCAAAAAAGTATTGCTATAATGTCGTCTTCATATTTCATTGTGTTCTTGTTATCACTGTAAGTTTACACCATTAAGCTGTAAAGATTCAGAGCTAGAAATAGGGGTTAGAAAATTAAATGTTTGAGGATAATAATCAGTTTCTCTATTCCTTTATGAAAGATTTTGTTCAGGTAGCAACAATAGCCAGACCCCCAGTTGACCCGTCACACAAGCAGCCTTCAACACTAGCCACTGGATATATCATATGTATATATCAGGTATAGTATTGTATAGTATTCCCAGATTGTGTAAGCTACTTAAAAATCCCAATTGTTCTGATCATTTTATACCTTCGTCAATTTTTGAGTTTATAGAATACAAATTGATATACTATCATATCATCTACGATCAAAAATCAAATATGATTTTATATATATACTATCATATCATCTACGATCAAAAATCAAATATGATTTTATATGTTGTTTAAAATTTTTCATGTTTATTAAGGCAAAAAGCATAAACTGAGATATTCAATCAATCGCAAAAAGTAGTTGAACTAGGTTAGGATGGTTATATACCACTTCTCTATTTCGCTCTCGACCACATAAGAAACGTAGTTCAGTTATCCGTGCTTACCTCTACTCATTTTCGCTATTTATCATATCAAACATTACCGATGTCTTGCTTCTAATAAACATTATTTTGATCAATGTTAACTCTGGGTTATTTTCTCAATTAATAAATCATACTTAGATGAACTATACAAGGATTAGTAAAGGTTACTTTAATCAGTATAATAGGTCACTGTAATCAGTATAAAAGATCACTATAATCAGTATGGTATACAGAGTTACTTACAAAAGACGAGACTGTAAAGACGTATTAAAGATTTCCAGGTTATATCAAGTAAACAGAAAAGTTTACAATTGCAATGGAATCATAAATAAGTAAACTGCAGAAAGTACTAATTCCAGACGTACAAACTGTAAGCTCTGGTGCATTTCAAGTATCGGGTCGACTTTTAATCAACTATAAGCAAGCTGTAAAAAATAAATAAGGCAAACCGAGACTTGTACGCCAAGTGAATAATCTAGTGTAATTTCTGTGATACAGCTAGTCGTCTGTAGTCTCATCCTTTAAGAGTAATTTGATAGGTTTCTATAATCAGTAAATGGGTTAAAAATAAAGTCTTTTTTTAAAGGAGGGTCCCAGAGTCCCTTATAAATATAATAATTAGGAGATATCTTTTTACGAGTAATTAAATGTTGAAATGTGTTTCAATAAAATTTGCTAGCTTTTTATATAGTAATATATAGTGTTATATAGCATAATTTTGTGCATTTTAAAATTGATTTCTTATCGGTGTTAAATTATGTTTTATGGACACCCTTTAGTTTAGAACTACATATATAGGGACACCCTGTAGTTTAGAACTACATTCTTGAAAATATTCTTGTTTTCTGAGTTGAATTCTAATATTTGTCCTATTGCAGGTATTTAAAGGAGATGATGGGGAGAAATTTGAAAGGAACTGGCTTTACTGGACAGGTATAGTTATTTAGTGTACTGGACTGGCATAGTTATATAGTGTACTGGACAGGGGATAGTTATACAGTGTACTGGACAGGGGACAGGTACAATTGTTTATTCTACTGGACAGGTGATAGTTATATTGTGTACTGGACAGGGGACAGGTACAATTATCTATTCTACTGGACAGGTATAGTTATATAGTGTACTGGACAGGGGACAGGTACAAATTGTAGATTCTACTGGACAGGTATAGTTATAAAGTGTACTGACAGGGGACAGGTGCAATTGTTTATTCTATTGGACAGGTATAGTTATATAGTGTACTGGACAGGGGACAGGTGCAATTGTTGATTCTACTGGACAGGCATAGTTATATAGTGTACTGGACAGGGGACAGGTACAATTGTTTATTCTACTGGACAGGTATAGTTGTATAGTATACTGGACAGGGGACAGGTACAATTGTTGATTCTACTGGACAGGTATAGTTATATAGTGTACAGGACAGGGGACAGGTACGATTGATAGAGTAATGAAGAGGTATAGATGATTGTACAGTGCGATACTGAAAAAATATACATTACCGTACAGTAGAGTACTGGAAAGGTATAGTTATTTATTGTACTAAACCGTACAGTCCAGCATTGGACAGGTATAGAGTACAGTTAAGTATTGGGCAGGTACAGTTATTTAAATTGTGCTAAAACTGTACAGTACTGCACTGAAAGGTATATAGTGCTGTATAGGTATAGAGTACAGTGTAGTACTGTAAGTTATTTAAACTGGTTCCAAAATTTATGTTTGCTGCATTAAACTGGACTCTTGGTAAATCTAATATTTCTGCTTTATTGCCAACACATTGCTTTGACCTGGAAAGAGGGGATGGGGTGGGGGGAAGAAACGTTTGAAGGAAACCCTTATTTAACCTTATTCCTGCTAAAGAGGGGAGTTAATTGAACCCCCTCCCCCATTTAGTTTTTTTACATAACTTAAAAAGTATTGGTCTGAGGCTGTTGTAACTTTATGACTTTTCCTAAATACCCATAGCCCTCCCTTTAGGTCTAAAACCAGGCTTTTATACTCACTGCCTGAGTCCTCAGGCACACTGCCTGAATGACTAGTTTTTTCTGTAGCAAACTAAACCTTTGTTTTGATCCACTTTTAGTTGTCAGATTTTGATAGTTTTTAGCTTTTTGGAAAGTTTTGAAATGAGGAAACAAAAAGCACAAATTTTGCAAAGAAATTTTTGCAAATTATTTGTATACAAACAATCCGTAAAAGGAAATTTGCACATTTTAGTTTTTCTTAATTACATATCGGTTATTTTGAAAAATGTTATGCATATTTGAAACGGCATGGTCAAGGGCTTTTCAAAAATGTATATTTTGGACAATTTTTTTGCAAACATTTAGAGCGCAAGAGCTTTCCATTGATGTATCATTTGTCATTTTTTGGACATCAAACATGGGATTTAGAAGGGGGTCAAATTGATCTCCCCCCCCAGTGTATCCTGGTTTTCAAGAACCCCAGCAGGGATCAACTTTGAGCAGGGATAGGGTTAAATGAGAAATGAGAAACAAAATTCTTATTTTTTTTCTAATTATTTTGAGAAATCCAGAGTACAGAGGGGAAACTTTGTGTTCCCGTTTTGACAAGCTTTAATTTACGTTTTCTAATAGTTAGTCCATAAAGCTAGTTTACAAACATCAATCAATTCTACCTTGAAACTTTCATCTGTATGGGCTCAACCATTGGGTTCAAGAAATCCACCAAGGGGAGATAATGAATTTAATTATGTGTTTAACTGCGCAAAAGAACATTATCATAAATTAATTAAACATTTTATTACTGCCAGGTGCCAGAATGCTGTATAAAAATCTCCCCCGCAATGTTGGACTGAAACGACTGACTCTTCATAAGTCTGCAACGGGTCCTAACGTAAACTACATTCTTCTTGTGGAGTGTAGTCACTTCTTAGATAATATTAATCAGGTAAAATCAGAAATTTATTTAGAGTTTAATTGAACAATTGAATTCTTTTAGCTTTAAAAATTACTCTGAATTGTTTGTAAACAATAATTGTTAATGAATATTGTTAACGAAAGCTTTGCCCGATTTAAAACGATACACTTAAAAGCTTTGTCTGATCAACTGCAAATCAGATATTCCATATTTTATTTGAATTGTCTATTTTCATTTGTGGTTTCTCTGCAAAATTAAGCGGCGCATTTGATCACTTCAAACTACGCTAACAGTCACTTAAAAAATTATCAAAAAAAACTATCCGAAATATAAATATTTTAGGCTGCCAACCTTCTACCTGTTTTGCGAGCTAGAATATGCGGATACACGGGAATATTCAGGTGCAGTATATAGCAGTTATTTAACCCTACCACACCAATCTAATGATAGCTAAACATGCCTATCTAGGTAGAAGTAAACATATCCAGTCTATCTAGCTAGAAGTAAACATGTCCAGTCTATCTAGCTAGAAGTATACATGTCCAGTCTATCTAGCTAGAAGTATACATGTCCAGTCTATCTAGCTAGAAGTAAACATGTCCGGTCTATCTAGCTAAAAGTAAACATGTCCAGTCTATCTAGCTAGAAGTAAACGTGTCCAGTCTATCTAGCTAGAAGTAAACATTTCCAGTCTATCTAGCCAGAAGTAAACATGTCCGGTCTATCAAGCAAGAAGTAAACATGTCCAGTCTATCTAGCCAGAAGTAAACATGTCCGGTCTATCAAGCTAGAAGTAAACATGTCCGGTCTATCTAGCTAGAAGTAAACATGACCGGTCTATCTAGCTAGAAGTAAACATGTCCAGTCTATCTAGCTAGAAGTAAACATGTCCGGTCTATCTAGCTAGAAGTAAACATGTCCGGNTGTTGTAAAGTAGAACAGTACTGTTGTAAAGTAGAAAAGTACTGTTGTAAAGTAGAAAGGTACTGTTGTAAAGTAGAAAAGTACTGTTGTAAAGTATAACAGTTTCTGTTTAAAACAAATTATTGTATTTTGTACACTGAAACACAATTAAGCAATAAAGAAGCTTAAAAAGAAAATTTATTGTTGAATTAAATAAAATTTATATCTTTTTGACATTCGTTGAACCTGCGTACAAGAAATATAACGCTAAATGAGACTGTTAACGTAATTGTAATGACCATAATAACCTTAAATTTAAAAAAATAATAAAAGGTAGTTTAGAAATGTAGGAAATATAGTCTCTGACAATTTGTATTAGTAAAACTTTATAAACAAAACGAAATTAATTTTAAACATTTTCTATATTTTTTTGATTTAGAATTGTAGAATCGTTCTGACACGAAGGGGCTCCTGAAGCTGCCCCCTCTGGCTGGGGGTACCCTGGAGCCCCTAATACAACCCATCTGGAACCAACTCCAGTATCACCCCCACCAGTAAGTTTATTATATAATTTTTTTAAAAACATTTTTTCCACTTCTCTACATGTAAAAATCAATTTTTTAATGTGTTTTGTTACAGAATTCAACCTTTTTTTTCGGGGGGGGGGGGGGATTTAACATGAAATGTAAAACAGGTTTAACTTTTAATGGACACTTTAATACAAATTCTATTTTAACATTATTTATAACGAATGTAATATTGTATATAAGTTTTCGGGATAGAAAATCTAAATAACTTGAATTTAGGATTTTCTCTAATTTTCAAAATACTATGTTTTCTAACTGATTTTTTTCAGGAAAAGAAACCGGAGAATGGAGGATTTTTCGCTTCCCTTTTCAAATCTTAACACTGCGGAATGTAAAAACATTGTTTACGTTGTGAAAAAAATATGGCGCCAAAAAATTACAAATGGCGGACCTTACATATCATGTTGCTCCAACAAGAAAGTGATAAAGATTCATGCTGTAACATGAGAGGTTACTTGTGCCTGATTCCCTTTTACCGGGAAAACAATCGCCTTCTCCTTCTACGGAGATAACACGTGAAACTCACGAGTTTACAGAAACTTAAGTTTTGTAATTTTTAATATTATTTTTTTTTATCCCAATCCCTCGATTCACAAACACATTGTAATAAAACTCGTCACATTTATGCTGATTCGAGTATTCGATATTACTTTTAAAAATATGTTTACAATGATGAAGTCAATGAAAAAACATCTTGTCACTGTCCAAAAATACAACTCAGGAATTTTAGCAAAATTGAAGGAAAAAATATTGAGTTGATGTTTGTTTACATTAGAAAAATAACTCAGCCTACCTCCTCAAATATAATTTACTTGGCATCAACATGTTTTTATTTGCACAAAATTAAAACGACATTCACCCCCTTACCTAACCTAGCCCCGCCCCCACCCCTTATTTGTGCATATCCCTGACATAATATTTGTGCGCGCCAATCTATATTTTTATAAAATGCTTGATTTGAAAAATAAATTTATACCGGTGCTGCAATTTGATTTTTTAAAGCAAGGGCATGGTTTGTCTACACAAGAAAAATTTAAACGTCTAATTCTAATGAAATAAGGGTCAAAGAGTGCTGAGAAAGTTAAACCCTATCCAATTTTGGGGTTTTTCTCCATAACTTAAAAATTGTTTGTAGAAACTTCTTCACTCTGTCAGTCCATAATTGAGAAAAAAATGCATACAGGGTAAAATTGCAAAAAGTGAGGTTAAAAAATAGAAGAAACAAAAGTTTATTTTTACAAGTATACACATATGTTACATATTTATGCATCCATGTTTCATGGACTTTTTAAACACAGGGTGTCCCACAAAATTTTGCAGTAGATAGACGACTTGCAGAACTTAATATTGATCTTAGGCGTTGTCACTAAATATTTACCTATTCCTGACATTTAGGGATGTTAACTTTTTCATTTTTCAGAAAAACAATCGTTTCGTTATGAAAACGACGACGAAAAATCGAAAACGACGTTTTTGAAAACGATCGTTTTTTAAAAAGTTCGTTTTTTAAAAATGGTCGTTTTTAAAACGATCGTTTTTCAAAACAATCGTTTTTCAAAACGATCGTTTTTTATAAAATTGGTCGTTTCGTTAACGATCGTTAACGACGAACCTTCGTTAACGATCGTTAACGACAACCCTTCGTTAACGATCGTTAACGACGACCCCTTCGTTAACGATCGTTAACGAAGAGAGGAAACCGACCTGAAGGGCATCTGTACTTATCATTAAGTAGTTTTAAAGAAAATATCAAGGAGTTTTAACTCCCCCACAACTGTGAAACTTCATGTAAGACGACATTCATTAAAGTTGCATTTTCAGATTTCAATTTATGAAACAAACCAAAAATTGTCAAAATCTAACAAAATCCTCCGGTAATATTGTAAGCAGGAAAAATGAAGACCACATTGTCAGGAGTAGGATTATTTTGTGATTATAAACCAAATTTTAAAATTAAGTTTGAATTCTTTCACTGATTAAAGACGATTATTAAGTCGTTTTGCTACTGTCATGTTCTGTAGGACACCCAGTACATAAATCTTAGTTCGTAGCTCAAACAATAAGAAAAAGTTATGGGGCCGTTCAGATAGAATGTTTCAGAAAAAGGTTGCTCCTGCTTGATAAAAAAAAATCTAGAGGGGTGGCGCCGATCTTCTAAGTTATTAAACCTTTATCTGAGTAACACAGAGGAAGATATTGTTGTTTTCCAATCTTTTAAAGTCATATATTCTGGAAAATTAAATTTTTGTCCAGCTGCTAAAATTCCTATTTAATAGAGAAACTACAATTACAGGGATATTTACTTCATTCAGACTAAGGATTAATTATAGTTCGGTTGTGAATATCTTAAAAGTAGGATCACTTGACAATATGTCGATAATCCCTTTAAAACAACCCCTTTAGTACAGTTCCTTTAATGCAGTCCCTTAAATACAGTACCTTTAAAACAATCTCTTTAATACAGTACCTTTAAAACAATCCCTTTAATACAGTCCCTTTAATACAGTACCTTTAAAACAATCCCTTTACTACAGTCTCTTTAATACAGTCCCTATAATACAATCCCTTTAATACAATCCCTTTAATACAGTCCCTTTCATACAGTCCCTTTAATACAGTCCCTTTAAAAAAATCCCTTTAATACAGTCCCTTTAATACAGTCCCTTTAATACAGTTCCTTTAATACAGTCCCTTTAATACAGTATATATATATATATTGTTACGATTTAATAGTGGTCGGAGGGAAATATAAAGTCTAGAACTGATGTGAATAAGTATACAGAGTACTAATACAGAGTAAAAAATATATTTACAGTATAAAAAAAAAGAAAAAAATATACTAAAGAATTGAAGAAGGCCGAAGCTCTCTGGCAGACACTCCGCCTTTCGTCCGCTTCATATGACGGGTTAATCCCCTTCCTTTCGATTCCTCGTGACTACTAACTCCCTGTTTCGGTTTTAGCCTCGCAAACCTTATTTTTAGCTCCCTCCTGTGTCTGAGTCTTGTGGCCTGAATTGGCGTGAATTTTAATTAGAGAGTTTAACTGCGGCTTGAATTTGCCATGCGTTGAAAGCATTCCATGCGTTGAAAGTATGATTTCCAGATGGCATTTTTTAACGGACAGACTCTGAATACACTATGCACGAGGCGACTTATCATCCGCCCCACTTTCTATCTGACCTAGAGCTATATACACAATTGACCTAATAAGCTATCATGCTTATTGGCCGGACTACTTGCAATCTGAGCTTAGCTCCGGGTCCGTATGAGGACTAAAGGGGTTGCATCAATAGAACTATCCAATCTGAGCTTAGCTCCGGGTCTTTATTAGAACTGAATGGATTGCATCAATGGACCTATCCTTATTCCGAGCTATTGAGCTCCCACTGGTTACAATATATTTTTTAGTATTCAAAGAAATAAGAAGAGATTTCAAAACATCATTTTTAATCCGCGTGGCATTAACACAATAACAGCAGTTTTCCAATTAACACAATCACAAACGCAGTCTTTTAGTTTTTAAAGTGGAGATATTAAGTAATTTTTCAAGATTTTAATTGTTTGTATCCAATTAACGTCAAAACGGCTGAACCGATCCGGCCCAAATTTGATGTAAGCAAAGAGAATAGAACATATATTAGAGGGGAATTTACTAGAAAAAAGTGAAAAACGGCCATTTTGTTGTACTGTTTCCATACTGCAGGTGTACTTCACATATTTATGCTATATAACCTTTTGGGCCCTGGAATATCATTTTATAGAAAATCTAAAATTATCGTTAAAAGAAAACCAAATTATGAAATAGGCTGGTTTTATAATTGACCAATGATCATTTCACATAAACTCTATTCACCTATTTTTATTCACCTAATTCATTATAAAGTTTATTTAACAGGTTTAAAAATTTCGAAACTGAAATGAATAGTCTAGGGAACATACTGTATTAATGTACTCTACTGCACATAATTTGTGAACATTTACGTGATTTGTACACTTTGAACTCCCTTTTAGGCTGAAAGGGACTGAAAAAATTCATACCGAGAGATTCTTTAAATTCCTCTCTAATATATATTCTATTCTCTATGGTTGTGGGACCTCACATAACCCCAAGAAAGTTTTATAAATGCGTGAAGTTTGTTGGCATTGTTTCATCGAAGAGAAAATGCTGTAAGAGTAAGATTGAGCATCAATTTACTTTGAAATAGGAGAAATGAAGTAGAAACCCAGAAACGAATGTAATGAATATCGTCTTTAAATAACTGAACTTTTCCTTAAAAATAGAAAATGAACTCTTTAGAAGAGATATAAGAAGAAATAGCGAAAAGAGAAAGCTAAAGATAGAAAGTGTGGGAGTTACAACAAAAGAAAACAAAACTTTAGAGGGACGGCAAAAAAAATTTATTAAATAAGGTTGAGGAAAAACCTAAATTTATACTACAAGCGTGTTACTTTACACACACAAAGATTTTAATGGTACCGTTGTATGATTGGGATTTCCCCTCTTTGCATGGAGGGTCACTTGAAATTGGGCTTACAAACCTATAGGATGGAAGGTTTATGGACGATCAGAATTAAACAAATTTGCCTAAACAATTTTCGATTTTCAAAATTAATCCACGAAAGAAAATCGATAAAAGATTAACAATTAAAAGGGAAAATCGAAGAGGGGCGCGAAACGCTCTGGAAAACTTTTATATTGACTCATTACTAATAATATTAAATCCTAAAACTTTTCCATTTACCTCTAAAGGGAGTGACCGGCTATGTAAGGTAATTGAACTGAGTATGCAGTTTTGTCGAAAACTTCTTTAGGATTCATTTGAGACATATTTCACTTTTTAAAGATCTGTAAATCCTGACTTTGAGTGCAAATTCGAGGTTCAAAACTCCTGATTTGGGGGTGGATACGCTTTCAGAATTTGTTTTTTTTTATTATTAAATAACGACAACGAAAAATAAAGTAAAAATTATACAGTAATCTAATTAGATGGCTAGGACCATATTTCACAAAAGAAATTTGCCAATAAATCAATGCTAAAATCGATTATTTCGTTTTCATTATTATAATGAATTTCTAATTTTCTTTGAATTTATTCGCAGATTTCTTCAAATTCTTTAAATGTCGTCTTTTCAATAATAGTTATAGAAAATCTGCGAACATCTTTGTGAATAACGAGAAATTAGAATAATGAGATAATAGAAACTAATAATTGAACAAGATTACTTATTTTCGATGATAAGATTAACTTTTATTTTCTCAAAATGTTCCTAAACATGACGTCTGTAGTTTATTGTAGAATGTTTTACATTTTATGTCGTCGTTAATTAATAATTTTAAAAAAACTAATTCTGAAAGCGTATCCACCCCCAAATCAGGAGTTTTGAACGTCGAATTTGCACTCAAACTCAGGATTTACATACTTTTAAAAAGTAAAATATGTCTCAAATGAATCCTACAGAAGTTTTCCACAACACTGCGTCCTCAGCTCCCTTTAATTGAAAATACTCTTTCTTTCATTTATACACCTCCGTTCTTTTCTTTTCTTCACCTCTTCTTATTTTCTTCTTTTTTTCTTTTTGTTTTATATCTTAATTCCCTAGCTGTTCTTTTCCTTCTGTTTCTCACTTTTCTTCAATTTTATTAAACTTTTCCATCATTTTTGGTCTTTATAGGGAATGTAAAAAAATACATAAATAATAAATAAAGAAATAGCGAAAAAAAGGTAAAGATAGAAAAAGTGGAAGTTTTAACAAAGACAAAAACAAAAACGAATAAAAAAAGATAAAACATTAAATTAGATTAAAGGGGGCGTATAGTGGATGTTTAGCTTGGGGGTAATGTACTTTTGGCACGCGTATGCGCATCGAAAATTATTTTTTTGTGCACCCTCCTTACAGTTGATGTAAAACCTCCTAAAAAACCAGTATTAAGAAAAATTAAAGTTCAAAATCTATATTAACCTACCTAACTATTAGTCATCTGACC